TCCATAAGAAAAACTGTTAACTTAAGTGCAATATACAGTTTCATCCAGAAAGCAAAATCCAAGAAAGACACAGCAGTCTGGCATCCACCCAAGCCTCCAGCTATTAAAAAGAGTGTATCGTTAGACTGCAGACAAAAGCAGTGAATACTCAGATGCAGGGAGGGAGAAACTGCAACATGTTTAACAAGAAGCTAGAGGAGAACGCTTTTTGAGTGAAAGGCCATCTGCCGGATCCGTCGCAATGCCAGTCCTTAGCTAGCTCGCACCTGCCAAGTCTGTGCCTCGGGAGGGACAAACTTCCAACACACACATTATCAGCTATGGCATTCTCTCACAGGGCAATAATGGCGACCGTGTGGCAGTAACTAGAGTGATTTGTCAGTGGCGTGTGGCGTCTGAAGAGGTTTTTGATGTTTTCCAGTGTTTTCCCTCCTGCGGTAACAATAGCATAACAGTGGTGTATTAAACCAGACCAGAGTGGCACAGCAAATCAGGCCGTTTATGAGGTGGTGCTGTTTGGGACGCTGCCAGCACAAATGCAATGTGGATGTAAAACCAGGAAGGAAACTGCAATAGAGCATAATGTTGGAACCATTTTGTGTTGGAAGGGAAACTGTTGAATCACATAATGGCACGCTGCATTCAGGTCTTTAGTTTGTTATTAGCTAGAAAATAAGCAGTAATTTTCTTTAAAAGTAAATGCATGTTGTTCAAGTAGGGCCAAAACAACTGCACTCGTAAGTAGAGTGTACTTGTAAGAAGGGCTGTCACAGTTGTTACAATTTCAATCTTGATTTCACTGCAAAGGAAAAGGCTTAATTCTGATTTCTATACCATAATTAGGGATCAAGCTTTTTCAGTTACAATATTGATAATGATACTTAATACTTTTACTTTAAGTCTGGGTATCAGTACTTTTGACCACCCTTTCTAAAACAAGATATTGCCAATCCGGCCTTCAAACTATTTTTGTTGGTCCCCAGGGATCCTACTGAATTGACCCAAATTATTATAGGCAGGACTTTTTACTTTTTTCATGTATCTCAATAACATCTCACTGCATTGTGAAACAAACCTAAAATTTGTGTTCTACAACTTTTAAAACATGCTGTGGCTCTGTCAAACTTGTACTTAAGGATACTTGGATCAGTTGAATGATCACCAAAAGCCAGGGTACAATTATTATTCACCAAAAAGTTGTAAGTAAGCTCTAAACTTTAATGTGATTCAATGCCTTTTACTTTAAGTGCTCCATTTGGCCCTTTCTGACAACCAACAGGTCCCATATGACCAGGGAACATGAAGTCAATGGAAAATCAAACTACAAGAGCTCTCGGACAATGATTAGAACTGCTGACATTTGGACAGAAAAGTCTTTAAAATCTCTGGTGGGAAATAGTTCAATAAGCCCAAGCCCTCACTGTCAATTTTCCCCTGAATCTCATTATGATCCACATCGAGGGCAAATGCATCCAATATTAGATACATTACACCAGTCGGGGCTGTGAATTGCAGCGCAAATTCTCATCCAAAAGTAAATTTCAGGAACAGAACAGGAAATGAAAGGCAGACAGACGTGTTGGAGAGCAGGGCTGAGGGGAGTGAAATGAGAACACATTGGAAAAATGGATTCTTGTGTGATTGACGGATAAGATGGCAGCTTTGATAGATGAAAAGCAGGAGGCAAGGACTTCACCAGACGGGGAAGATACAGGATGATATATGTTTTTTTCTTTTTACATTTTCGCTAAATTCCTGTGAAACCGCACCGGATGACACTTGTGTTGCATATAAAGGTGCAATCGGCCACCCGCCATTTTCCTCTCTCCCTCTTTTCATTTTTCACAGCCTTTCTTCACAAATTCTACTCACCACTCAAGCTTTTCTACTGCTCTCTCCATCATCACCTCCTCCTCCAATATCTATACCATCCAGTCATTGTTATTGCATGATTCTTGCTCTAGTCCCCTGTGCCATTTCACACCACTGGAAGCACACAGGTTGTTTAATCGAAACAGCAATCAACACTACTTCCTCCCGAGTGCCTTCACCTTCATGTATATATAAATCTATTTACCGGTATGTGTATATGGGTGGAAGGAAACGCTGGGGTTTGATGATGGTACATAAGCCATTATGTAGAATATCAATACCTATGCCTCGGCTTATGTGTAAAGAAAAAGGTATTGTTGGTGAGCTGGTTTACAGCATGAATAAAGTAACTGAAACAAGGATTTAAATAAATAAATAAATAAATTATATATATATATATATATATATATATATATATATATATATATATATATATATATATATATATATATATATATATATATATATATATATATATATATATATATATATATATATATATTAAAACCTGTTGTGTGTACTCAGAATAGTAATGGAAATAATAGTTCCATGTGGTTGGCCTGTACTACTTCAACGTATACTCTTTGGTAGTCAACATTACTTATAACTGAAATATGGGATGGGATGATGGTTTAAATGACTTCTCAACCATTAATTAAATAACTGAAATTTTGTTGCATAAATGAATGAATTTCCTTATTTTTCAAGATCAATAAAGTATCTATCTAAAGGAATGCTCACAGTGACTTAGAAAAATCATTTGTACTATTGCTTTATAGTACTGTATATTTTAGTTCATAAACCATATGTTGTCATATTTTACACAGCCAATTACTGGTTAGTAGTAATTCTCAGACAAAACACGCCTTTGTCTCTATGGGATGTCAACATATCCACAAACATAGTTAAGACATTGGCGGGGGTGCAATTAACCTAGATAACACCTCCCTAGCCTGGGAAACCTGATAAGTCAAGTGTCTGTCATCTTGGGACAAAATGTTTAACAGGGTTTTTTGGCGGCATATATGTTGAGGCTTATATAGTAATTCCCCACTGATTAAAAACTCCCAGACAACAGTGACTTGAACAACAGGGAAGACAGTCTCTGCTGATTACATCCCTCTGAGTCAATAGTGAATAGAGCACTCAGCCTGATAAGCAATCACCTGAATCAATACTAATGTTTTTAGCCTGGCCGCATTAGTGAGTGTGTGTGTGTATGGGTAGTTTTTAACATGTGGCTAATCTAGTCGGGGGCCCATTGTAGACAAACAGTTGCAGCGGCAGTAAATTGAGCAGGCTGTCGTCCCCTTCCAAAGAGCTTCACTGGGCTTTCATCTTCTCACAACAATCTGTATTCTTTTATTCCCCTCTCTGCCTCTCATCTCCGTCGCCACTTTGGCCTCTTTTTAGAGACACAGCATTAACCTTCAAAGAGGCGCATCATAGAGGGGACTGCCACGTACAAAACAAACCAGGCTTTGGTTCATCTAGCAGTGTATAAAATGTCCAAGTGGGGACATTTTCGTACATGCACTGTATAGTAAATTATTGATGTTCCTTTTAGTCTTAGTTGTTGCAGGTAGTGGGCACCAATAAAAGCAACACTTTTCAATGACTTTCCTAGCCAGTCTTGGTGACCTTGTAACGCTGGGTGATATAGCAAAAAAAAATCATGTGTGTGCGTGTGTGGTAATTTTAATAACAATTTTAAAGTTTATTTTGTCTCATTAAAGAAAAACAAATATAGCTTACAATGTGCATTTCTTAAACATAAACAAAATACTTTTAAAAGTCTGAACTCCTACTCACATGTTTTTGTCACTGTTAAAAATTAAAAAATGGTTCATTGCACAATCCTATCACCTATGTATGTTTGAAGTCTCAAATAATTATAAACATGAAATAATGTTGAAGCATGTAAACAGATCATAAGCCCTTTTAATCCTCAGTTTGTCTTCCTGGTCTGAACTGATATTGCCCTAAGTGGCAAGACTGGCCTATATGTATAATGCAATAGGCTATATACACCACAGAAATCAATAAAATTTGGTTCTATACTGTAATGAGTATTTGATACGCGATTTAAAACGATCGCTAAAATATACTGAGTCAGCACTCAAACAACTTAATAAAAAAGTAGCCTCTTCATTTTGATTGTAAGGATGCCTCTAACTTCCCTGTTCACTAAGCTGCTGCACTCAAAATTCACTTTCTCTCTAATCTCCTTAACTCCTGACCTTCTGCTACATGACCAATAAGATTATACCTGTCAGTCTGAACCTCAAAGTGACCCTGGTCTGTCATTGGCTCCTAGCATCATCATCATCAACACTGAAAAAGATGATCACCCACACTCCTGCTTTTTTTTATACCAGGGTTTTTTTTTTTTTGGTTTGAAGTCGGTATCTAATTTTGAATTCCACTGACAAGAATTAATATTTCATAAACTCATCAGTTCTTTCCTGCAGCACTTGTAAAAATAAAGTTGTGCTTGGAGAACATGAGGGTAGAGCACATAATCAGAACTTTTCAGCATTGCTATTGAGTATGCTTGAAATATTACCCTAAATAGGCCTAGATGATCTTGTATGCAATGCACCTCATTAAAAATATTATTATTGCTTAGCAGTTTTGCTGGGAAATGTAGCTGTATCCATGTACTAATACGTGTACCGAAAATACACATTCTGAATACTAATTCCAGAACAGTTATTTTTCATTTGTTGGTATTCAAAATACAGTTATTTTTCTAAATTAAAAGGAATACATAGCAATTATTGATTATGCAATTTTAGATTTGGACTGCATGGTATTAATTAGAAAAAAGCAAACATAACTCTTGAAATGTATGTGCGTGTGATCTGTAATTAGACACAAGTTAATGCAAAACAAAAAATCTAGCTCTTCTTAATTGTATGTCATGTTTTTACACAATATAATGCAACTCGATCTAAAAATGTTCAGAATACAGTACTCTGATTGGACCATGTATCAGAATGCATTACAAAATACATTTTAATGCAGATATTCAGTATTTTGTAACTAAATAAATTTTTAAGTATTCTTTACATTACTGTCCATGTAACTATCCATGTAACACATGTTAGACATGTTTTTGGTCTTACCTTCCACTCACAACAAAGCAGGTGACCAGAAAGATGAGGAGCACAATACCCCCAGCAATGGACACAGCGAGGATAGTGGATTGATTTGGGTCTCCAATGGCCAGAACATCTAGGAATAAGAAAGAGACAGTGGATTCATAATCTTACAACTTTAGGAAATAAAAGTCTTTTAGAGGGGAGCTGGAGCCAAGTGAAAGATGATAGCAATTGAAACGAAGATAAAAGACTAGATTGAAGGAGGAGTAGGGAGAAGGAACTAAAAATGAGCAGAGGAAGTGAATTGAATAATAAGTACGGCTCTTGATGAAAAGCCCTCTCTCTCTGTGTATATGAGATCCGACACGAGACCCGTTCCCCGTTTGGCCTCGCTGTCCAAATGGATATGTTAACATTGCACATAACAAGGCTTACTGCCGAGAACTTTCTGCAAAGACGCATTGATTTTTACGCCACACCAATCGAGCCATTACTCAAAACAAATACCCCATTTATCTGACTTAGCTAAGCATGAGCGGACACGTGTGCCTGTGTGTGTATATACCCCAATGTGTTGAAGAAGCGAGTGAATGCCCAAGGGCTGCCGCAGATAACCATTGATCTCCTATTACATTTACCGGCGCACACATACACACTTCTATAGGGATCGATAGCATTGATCAGAATAGATAACCCTTGTATGATTGCTGGCAGGTTGGCCAAATGTGGCACATGCTACATTTTATAGTATGAACTTGACAGAGGAGCAGGTGTTACAAATAGCTCTATTACACAAGGGATACTGTTTCAACGTAAGAAATTGATTTACCTATTAAATGCAAAGATCAAGTATGAAATGTGACAATGAAGATTTATGGATCCTTCTTAGGAATCGTATATAATATACAATTTTATGTGGTACCATTATATTGATGAGAAATAATTTCATGATACCTCACAATGACTGGCACCGTGATCCTTTGTTTTCTAACATTAATTTTCTCTCCATCATTGTTCCTCTCCTCCATCTTTATGAAATCAAACTTTTCTAAATGATAGGGTGGGGAATATAGATGTTAAAGAATGCATATTGTGTTTTACCCTTCATCCAAAATGACTTAATAAAAGAGACAAGTCCACTGATATCTGTGTTTGAAAATTGCAGTGCCCATTGAGAGCAGATGTCATAGTATACGTTATCATGACAAAGCGTCGACAACTCCTCTGGATAGCTGTAGATCATGAGAGTGAGTAGCAGATTTTTTTTTCCATTTGTACCAAAATGGCAAAATGCTGCTGAATTTTATGCATATCACCGATTTAGAAAATAAAATTGGAGAATGAAGTAAGTACAGAGCACTGGGCACACGCCAGTGGCGGTGAAAACGGGGGGTTGATAAGCAATATGTCTTGAAAATAAGTAATTTAAGATTGCTCAAACATGCACAAGTCACTCCAATACAACTTTGAGAGGGGAAATGAGAAGGGAAAACAACTTTATCGTGGTTAAAAGACTTGTGCTGCTGAATGTTACTTCTAAAATTCGTATGATTATTATTTTTAGATGTTATAATATATTCAACCTGAATATGCACAATTACAGATAAACTGAATCAATCTTACACTGATAGGTTGTTAACCACTCTGCCACTATTCACCCCACAAGGACAGAATGTGTCCTTTAAACTGCTACCATTGATTATTGGGTGACTAATGTATAGGCCTCATGCTTCACTAGGCATCTAAAATATAGTTGCACTTTATATACATTAAATGATTGACCCCACTGTCTTTCTGTGTGAGAATCAATGCTCTCTTTAGCACCAGAGAACATGGCACCATAATGAAACAATGTGACAACTACAAAGGCAATAAGAGACGGTTAACAGAGGGTCCTGACATAACAAGACAGAGGCACAACAGCAGCAGTTTGTGGAACATTTCCCATTATAACCCAAAATGGAAAGATCATTACTCTACAACGGCAGCTCCTGTTAGAGAGAGAGAGAGAGACAAAGAGAGAGAGGGGGAGAGACAGAGAGACAGACGGAGGGAGAGAGATCTGCAGTGTAATGTTTCCAGCATCAGGGCAATTTCTGCACTTTTTATGTTTGGGACACAGTGCCTTATTGATTTATGTATTTTGTTCTTGCTTAGTATTGTTTTGAGAAAGATGTGACACCATTCCAGCATATATTGAAGGTTGAAGGTTTAGAATTTTGAGGGGCCCTTGTGTGAGTATTCACATTTCTCCTTAGCAAAGCTAATTTGAATAACTTCCTTTGATTTTAAACATTTTGCCTCAATTTATCCATCCTTTTTGAACTATATCTTTACTTTTATATATGAAAATACAAGATCCAAAAATAGTTTATTTTTCAACATGTAACTGTGTGAAATCTAAATATGGGACTATTATTAGTTATTACACAAACTTGACACAGTTCTCAAAACCATTGTACTCTGTTTGTAGTTCTAGTTGTTTTGGCAAATTACCATGCTGCTTTAAATTCACTACTTAATATATTTTTGTCCTTTCTGATATTTTCTGTTGAAAGGGTAAAAGTTAACAGTGTGTCCCCTGAATCCATGAAAACATAAAATCACACTGTGTTTTACATTATCATCTTTCACTAGTAAAATGTAAATGAGTTTCAGTGCTGATATAAAAGCTATTTTGTGTGAGTGAACTCTTTAATCTGCAGGAGGAATACATTAGGCCAGATATAATCACTCATCTTTCTCCTTGTTGTTGACCTTCAGCATCCAATTTACGTAGCATTTATTTTGTGAGCGTCACCGTTACCACACCGGCATGCAAACTATTTCTATCCACCCTATCAAGCATGTGTTTTATTGTTTGTTCCAGACCAAAAGCCAGTGGGAAATGAAATATGTGGACAGAATAAGCTGATATGTACAAGCTTGTCGCGTACCTTCGTGACTAGTCTCCAGCTCGATCTCTCCCCCGTAGCTGCCGTAGCCCCCATCTGTGCGCGCCCTGACCCTGAACACGTAGGTGGTCCCTGGCTTGAGGCCGTCCACTGTCATCATGTTGGAGCGAGTTTTCAGGACAGTATAGTTCTGCTCACGCTGGTTCTGCAATGAAGAAAGACTTGCAAGTGGGCACTATTTATACATGTAAAAAAAATGGCCGACCACAATATAAAGCTGAAATGTGTGTATATTTTCATCCCATGGCAGAGAGCATTAGTTAAAGTGAGTTCCATTGAATTTACAGTCATGAAATGCTGAGCGTTAAAAATAAAAGAACTCACCGCATTAGTTTGACAATGTACATTTAAAAGTTATAATATTTTAGTTGAATGTGCACTGTTACTTTTCTGACGGAATTCTAACATCTGGATTGTTCCACAGTATGGCATTAAATCTATACTTGGAGGAAAACACGTGACACAACCAGACCACGTTACAGGCAAGATCTGTGGGGAGTTAAGCCCACTCACTATAAAAAAAAACACCTGTGAATGAGTAAAGGCATGATAAGTTTAATGCCATACTGTGGAACATTATCTGCATGGAGGTAATCAGTTGGCACACTCTCTACCAGAAAAGTTATAGTTTAAAGATATCTGCAAAATCAAGGTCAAACAAAGTGGGCTACTGAAAATACATATTAAACAGACCATAGCATAACAAAAATTAAGGTAGAAGAATATGCTAATGAAACTGACGATGCATTCAACCTTCCTATGGGCCAAGTTCACCTCACATTTTTCATCTGCTCATCATTGCACCACTTAGATGCATTTATACATGAGCATCTGCGCTGTCCCAAATCTTCGCCGTGCCAAATCTACACTTTGGGGCAATATGTTTCAACTCACTCCCTGCCATGTTTCTTCTGCTCCCCCAGGTGTGCGTGGAGGAATAAAGAACAAATGTGTGTCTGTCTGTAAGATGATTCCCTGCAGAGAACTAGATACACTACCTAATGGAGGACACTCTACAACGCGGATTAACACTATTTTACTGCTAATCACCGGCCGCACGTACAGGCAGCCTTAATTTCATCACCTTGGCTGGTGTTTTACAAGGTTTGTTCGACAGATGTGTGGGTAATTGGCTTGGTGGGAGCAATAGGGGAGGCTTATGATGGAGATAAAGACAGAGGGAGAGAGGAAGAGTGAGTTTTTTGGATGAAGAAGTCATTACTTGGATACCTTAAGGCCGCAGACAGTCCAAGTATAGTAAACAAGGGGGGGAAAAGTTTATTGGGGGATTTAATGCCAGATTTGATGTTTTTCTAATCCCACTTGAAGTCTTTATTACACTGCAATTCTAAATGTGTCTCACCTTCTCGTAATAGATGACCTCATATTCCACTATGGCTCCATTGGGTCGCTCCGGACCCTGCCAGGCCAAAGTCACACTGTCCTTGCTCCGCCTCTCCTTCAGCACAACGCTCACTGTAAGAAACAAAAATAGAATAAAAGCATTAACCACAAATGCATAATGTATCTGAAGCACCCCAGTGGCCATGGAGATTTTAGTTTCAACATTGTTGTAGAGATGAGGGTTTTTTGTTTTTCTTTCCTTTCTGATATCTTGAACACTAATTATTATTTTTTCTTTTTGGGCCAGTTTAACTTGGATCAGATGAGTTCTCCTCATACATTTTAGTATTGTTATTAAATTTGATCTCAGTTCTCATGATAATTTTTCTAATATTATGAGGATTAATATGCACATCAGCCAATAGGGGAGAGCATGCAGAGTGTGTTAGTTGGAGTGATTAAACAGTTTAATCTGGATCTGCCTTTTCATTTAAAAAGATGTGTTCCGGTATTTCTCTTTAAACACATTGGTTTTATGCAAGATCCGAAAAATTAGAGCTACACCACTCTCTTTAGTCAATCAAGCATTTATTTAGCCGACTAGCCCTACAGATCTGTCTTAAATGTATCAAGAGAAGCATGAGAGCAGGTACACTTAATAATAAAGTGTCTTGTTATTGTGGATATAGATATTTGTGTTTGTAAATTAATTTTGACTGAGACCCACTGTGCTTTGCTTACAGTATACATGTGCTCAGTGTCATCAATCTTTGCTAATGAGCTACTAATGTTTTATACAGTGTGTAGCTCTAACGCATAAGGTAGTGTTAGTGTGATGTGTATCCTAGCATGGCAATACTCATTAATATACAGAGATCTTACACTGGTGCAGTTCAAAGTGTGTTTTCCTGAAAATATACCAGAGTCAAGAGTGCTACAAATGACATGTGTGGTCATAATGAGGTTAACAGCCAGGTTCATTACTCCCACCCCCCACAAAGGCCCCACCTCCACCGTCCTGTCACATGATCCTCTCTGACATAAAAACATCTACTTCAGATAAATATCTCTGTTGGAGTGTTGCTTTGTATAGATAAACTAATCTTGCAATGTTTGGAATTTTGTAATCAGAACCAAAATGTCACCAACACCTGTTTTTTGTTCGTTTGTTCGTTTGTTTTTAACATTAGTAAAATGAATGAATATCTGAAATATGAATATGCTCTCTCTCTCTAATTATTGAATTATTGGGTGCAAAGGTTTTAGATGTGGTTGAATATTTTTAATTTTCAATAGTTTCTGCCATCTGTTAAACTGATTAGTAAGGCAATGGTGCTTTAGAAAATACTGTTTACCTGTCTGTGAGGTGGTGATGTTGATGACCACTGTTCCCCGGGGTGTAGGGCTTAAATCGGACACTCCGTTCTGACTCTCCACGGTGAAGCTGTAGTTGGAGTCTGGTTGCAGGTCAGTGACTAGCACAGTTGTGGAGGAGAGACCAAACTGTCGGGGGATAAAGTGCACACTGCTGCCACAGGGGGAGCATTTTCTCCCGTCGCCAGAGCACTTCCTGCAGTGGAGGCTGTAGGTGATGTCACCCCGCCCCCCTGTGTCCCGAGGCGCAGACCACTCCAGGGTCACACACGTCTCATTCACAGTGGAGATGGGGTTTTCAGGGGCAGAGGGAGGACCTGTGCAGCAAAACATGATCAAATTATGATTGTGGAGCACGCTTTGGTCTATTTCAGGGTCACTTTGGTTATTTGTGCCACTTTGTCAAAAAGCAATTTCAGCAAACTCAACTAAGCTTCACCTTAGTGCCCACTGCCAATCTATATTACAGTTTACAATGACTAAAATAAACGCTCAAGCACTTAAATGCTTTGGAAGTGGAGACTTTGGCCTTGCTTATTTGTGTTGTATAGAAGCCTTGCAACATCAGTATAATAACTTGTAAATTGCATAAACTGATTTTGTGATCCAAGTTACCACATTACCATGACCCAACATATAAAGTGTTCGTCTTTGCTGACTCATAGTGAAGGCCTCAAATGTTTGGTCCTAACAAGTGTTGCAGACTTATACATCTAGTGTTGATCCGAGTTTACAATAAATAAAGCTGGATCTTGTCTCTGCGAATGCCACCCATGTGATCCTCAAAACAAAGCGGTATAAGAACTTAAGACCACTGTCTCCATTGTGTAGTGATGTTTAACCAGAGAGACATGGTCTTTGTTTCTATCAACATTAGTAAATGCTTTTTGTTGTTTAGTTTAGTTCTTTTGATGAAGGCACAACTATTTAAAAGTAGAACCACAGCTGAAGACAAGGTGTTTAACAAATGTAGTACTGTATAAACCTCACCTCACAGGGTTACAACACTTTTTCTATTATATGAAGCATATATCCTCTGGGCAGAGTTCTGCCTTACTGGCAGAGTAGTGTTAAATATTACATTCCTGCAGGATTGTCTGGTAACCTACAAAGCACAGAGTTGTCATGTATGTCATTATGATGGCTGGTCTATAGGAGCTGCTCATATGGAAAAGCGCTGATTATGGCTGGCCCCTGCTGCATGCTGCAGTGCAGGTATCTATGGAAATGTGTCAGTGGATGCCCATTAAGCCTGACATGTCATCAGGCCAGGCTGAGCCTGAGCCCCAGGGGGGCCTGGCAGAGCCTGCAACTTTCCTGATTAGGCCTCCCCGTGGCACAGCCCCCAGAAGAATAAAGGAGATGGGGGTTTTCTGGCCATGGGGGTGGGGGCCTGACTGAGAATAATTGAGCCTGTCACTCATATATCTGTTGAATAGATGCTCTCTGATCCTGCTAATACAGCCCTTTTCCATCCTCCTTACACTAGGCCACACTTAACTGTCCATCATAATCACCACTGATTGGCCCTTTATGACACTGGGACTATTCCACTGATATTGTACATTTCCCCTGCTGCTCTAGTCTTCCATCTCATTTCCTTTGTCTGCTGATGACTAATTCTCTCACTCTTCTCCTCTACTCCTTAAAGCTCAAGAGAGCCAAAGAGGGCCCATACATTTTTGGATGAATCACTCTTTCCACTTGAACACCTGTCACAGGTGTAGCAGGTGACAACCTGCTGTAGCGATTAATACGTTTAATCTGTCATAATCTGATAATGGCGGTGTGAGCAGCACGGGATACGTTCCACTGTTTCTGTATTGGCCACAGACCCTCACCATATCTTTGGCAATCCACTCTTTTTCCACTCAAATCCACTCAAACTCTTTTTTCTACTACTTGTTGTAGCCTTTCATGACTTCTTAAAGTTTCATACAGCATACATAAATTAGTGTAAGTGTGTGTAGACTCACGTGTGCAGGACATGGAGCGCGGGTCAGTCTCGGCTCTGTGGTAGCCCTTCTCACACATGCACTCAGTGGCCTGTTCCTGAGGAGATGAGCTGTGAGGAGGACATTTGGTGCAGTAGGCGTCTGTGGCTGAGGCCTTGTATGTACCAGGTCTGCACGCTGCAAGGAACGATGGAAAAAATAAGTCAACAATATTTTCTTGGCTTTCTTGTGTAATACTAGAGTACTGCATTAACGTTTGGTATTAAATCATAAATATTTTATCATAATCGATGGTCTTTTAAGCTTTTAAAATCTTTAGTAATTGTCCAGTTGTCATTAGTGTGCTTTTTGGACTATACCATGTATATTTAAATAGGTAATCAAGTCATTGATTTTGACATTAAGGTGCACTGTGTAACAATTCTTTTTCTAGATTGTGCTACAATATAGATTAAACCTATCTATCACGAGGAAGACGAGTAGGTAACAGCACTACACTACGTTACAATTCACAGAAGGAATCTTTGCATTTTTGAACAATAGATACACTTGTAATGAATAAATGCTAGATGGATATGTTATTGTCATACCATGGAATATTCTAGGCAAAGCAATAACATCTCCACCTTTAAATAATCATTAATTTTATTTGATTTTTCCCATTCGTAAGAAACAATACATCAAGATGATCTGGTTACAACACCACTGACCATTAAGTATAAACACTTGCGTTAAGAAACCCACTTTAGCACATATTGTCTGGTCAGTCGGACACACCACATCCTTCTGACAGCTCGACACTGATAAACCTCCAAAATGATCACACATATGTCACTGTTTTGACCCACTCTTAAACCAGGATGAGCAGACGCATGGATACAGCATACACAAACAGCAGATTGTGGTTTGATCTAAAGTGGGTAGAACAGATCCGGCGAGGTCATAAGTCCGTGTCATGCAGCACCAATGGCAACAACAGCGCACGATGTAATGTAATGTGACGTGAGAGACCCGGACGATCAGTTTTACCACAGGCTCCGACCAAACAAAAACACAGCAACAGCAGCACCAATCTTATATAATATATTGTGGGGAATTCAAATACAACAATAACATAATATGACTAGTGCAGCGGCTGTTACACCGGGTGCATATTAGTCATTATGTGGAGTCATAAAACTGCGGCGGCAAATCTGCGCGGCTGCTCAACACAGCAACAAAATGGATTGGGGACCTGAATGATTTCCCTTTGCATTCCTGACAGTAAAATGCAATCCAGGCTTTCTCTTTGGTAATCTGAATATAGATTACACATGCATTTATTTTTACATTCACAGGGTTGCGTCTCCTATTCTCATAAGCCCTTTTCCGGCCACAAGCAGTAAATAGCATTATAGTGTGCAAAAGTAAGGAAAATTAGGGTTGCTCGAAGAATTTAATTGAATATGTGGCTTGGGTGTGACTCAGTACTAACCAAAAAGTTCTAAAAAGTTGAATCAACCCCAGCGCTTTTTGTGTCTTGAAGGACATTATATAAATCTAAGCACTATAATATTATTTACAGCAATTTATAGACCAAAGTGGGATATTGGCTGAAACGATATTTTGGAAGACGATATCCAATCCACCAAAATGTGCAATATCGGCACAGATATCAATTACCAATGTTGTATCGGTGTATCCCTAACATTAACACTCTGAATTGAATGTAGCAATACACAAAAAATAAGCAAAAACATATTTTACCTGTAGCACAATTTTTTTACCCTAATTAGATAAACGTGTGTAGAGGTCTTAACTACAGGGTAAGCATGTTTTACTCAAAAGATAAAGGGATATTTTGTTTCTTGCAGAGGACAGTCTATTACCTTATGAAGCCTTTGTGATATGATAATTTGATTTGATTACAATTAATAGTGCAGCCCTAATATACAGGATAAACATTGCACATAGACTACTAAAATGAGTAATACTTGAATGTGTGAACTGTGTATGAGGTTGGATCAGAGGTGTGACAGATGCTCCAGGTGTTGATTAGTTGTTGTGTGCTGGCCCTGGTCTACACAAAGGTGTTAAGTACGCTCTGATTGGGTGTGTGTGAGCGCTGATTGCCTGCTCTGGATCTGAAGGTCAGGGATTTAATCAAGCCGTACGTCACTCTGCCTAGAGCAGCGGTAAATTTTCTCTCCAATACACACATAAAATGTTAGGATACACAACATAATGAACAAGACAGTGGACTTTGAGAGGACAGACTTGTCTTTTTGACCTGATCAGAAGTTTGAAAAAGTCTATGTAACTTAATAAAATAGATTTGAGTTTCTAAAATGACAACTAATGGGTAGCAATAGAGCTTGAGATGACCTTGGGACTTCCAAATGTTAAAACTGTCCCTGAAGCTAGCATGCAAAGGGACAAGGGGCTATAGTTGAGAGGATAGCAAGCTAACGACCACTAAATTATACTCCTCCGGCTCACTCAGCTTTAAATCTGGCCAAAACGCGTTGGCATTTTAACCTTACTTGCCATATAGTAATAAGGCTTTAAAATTTAATTACCTTTTTAAGTACCTAATTTTTTTCTTTTCTAAATCTGAAACTGATCCCTCCACTGAAGAGCACCATGAGGACATATATGTGTGCCTGCTAAAATTCTACTGCTGTCATGCTCCTGTCTCACACTGTATACTTGGCCTGTTGCGTCAGAATGGGTATATGATGTGCCAAGTCACTATGCAAACCACTGCACTCTAGAGTATTTGATTTTGTCATAATGCAGAGATAAGAAATGTTCCTATTTTAAAGCAAACAATGCTTTTTAAAATTTGAACACTACATGAATTACCACTAAAAGAAGTTGTCATTCCAACATTTCTCTCTGCCTCAACTGCCACGATGTAAGATATTTCCATGCCCAAACAAACAATAACTATTTAAAGGTCTTTTATCATTTAAAATAGACTCTTGTGAACTTTTAGCTGCTGTTATTTCCTCAAAAACATACCTGGAGTTGTGTTTGTTTTCAGTCACACATGTTTGAGTAACTCTTTATTATTGCCATTATTAGTCTGTCTACATCTAAAGCTCAAAATACTCTGTTCACCCTTGTGATGTCACAAAGCTGTAGTTTTCAAGTGAACAGCTCCTTTTACCTTAAGTTCAGTAGAGATTGGAAATCCCAGGGCTGAAATCATCCAAATGATTTTAGTCAATGTGTGGAGTTTAAAAACATGTATTACCACATGACATCACAAGGTAGAAGAGAGTGTTTTCTGTTTGAGAGAAGAACTCTAAATAGGCTAAATAGGAAGGGTTTGTGTGCTAAACATGTGTGACTGAAACAAACCTAACATAGACCAGAAGTTAGTGTAATATGGGACTTTAATACCATATTGTTTTTTTACAAGCTTGTAATTTCCTGGCAGTGGTAAACCCTCAAATATAATAGTGGCCTGAAAGCAGAGTGGTTGCTCAGTGTGGCAGTATGACTTCCACCTGGTTGCTGTGCAGGCTCCAATACAGCAGACAGTATTTTTAGGCAAATCATTCATCATAGGGGAGCAAAGTCCACTAGCACAATCCCCCATAGACCTGAAAGAACACTGAGAAGGGGGATATGTGTGTAGAAAGAATAGTAGACAGAAAAAAAAAAACACAAAAGAGAAGCAAGAGAAGCAAAGAAGTGATAATTCTCCAAGGGTTACCAAGCTCTCCTTCCTGTCAGGTTCAGTGTAAAGGGTGCCTATGCGATGCCATGTGTGTTGGCGAGGATGTAGCAACTAGCTTTTCTCTAGAGCACTTTTCATCCAGGCACAAAAAGGACCCCAAAGATCGACAGATGGACCCCCATGCCAAATCCACTGGGCCAACTCCTCCTTTTTCTGGGGTCCTCTTTTGCACCCTATTTTCACTTGTTTCCTTTCCTTCACTCTAAAATATACTTCATGTATTCTTTTTTCTCAAGTGTACTCCCAAGTCACTACTTCATGGGAACAGGATAGTTGACTTGATTCCCTTATGATGAAGGGGTGTAGGCGTGGATCGCAAACTATAAAAACATACCAAAACACATAAAATAGGTATTCAGTTAGAGAGTTACGATGTTATGAACTATTATTTTTAAGAAGGGCAGTGTTAGCATGTTAGCATGTGTGTGGACATGTTCCCACCAAATGCAAAGTGTGGCATCAGATCCAGTGTCTTATTAAAAATTCATCTCGTCACTAGAGAGAGTGTATTTGTGCCGATCGATAGCTCTTAGATATGATATAGTACCACTGCTCCAGACACTCCCTCAGTCACCACACACCCACTGAGACGGGAACTGTCCTTTGGAGGAAAAACTGTTTTGACTTAATTATGTTCAAAGTAGAAAAAAAGATGACAACAACCTCCTTTTTGTCCTTATCCTAAGAAACACAGTGAAAAGTCAAGCCCTTTCAGTTTACTTTGAAGTTAGAAAATATTCATCACACAGAGACAGTTTAAATGTAACACTTATAGCCTTATTTGAGCCGTAATATAAACCCATTAATATACATTAGAGACTGTCAAAGAAACTTTTCTCATTAAACGGAAGGTTGTAGCCCACAGCAAACAGTTATACTGCGAAGGATCAGAGTGAACATTGTGCATGTTAAACATTTCAATACTAATGCATATATACCATTTACATTGCAAAGCCACTTAATACAAAGTTAGAGTAATGCATTAAATGAAAACAGTGGTGATGCTGATGGCCCGAGGAGAATGGATGTCAATTGCACGTGTGACCGTGAGTGGACTGGACACGTGTCCCTGAGAGGAGACAGATTGAAATGCAGTGAGTCTGGAGGAGGCCTTTCGCTCGTGTTAAGTGTTTGCTGGGATATAGCCCATGTTTGTGTGCGCTCTTTTGAGAGGGAAGTTGTGTAAAGCTCGTTGGCCCATGGGAGATGAACTCTGTAATGGTCACCATGGCAACAGGCTTTCAGGATGAAGCCCTTGTGCGGGCTGCCCCTGGAGTGCCACAGAGCTGCTGTGAGCGCGGGGCTGGTTGAGACTAGCTCCTTAAAAATTGATACATCAAGCGTCAGTGGAGAAATGTGACGAGATTGAAGGTGGCGTGTTTGGAGGCCACCGGGGTCGAATCTGCCCGTGTGTTTGTGCTCTGTGTACATGTCCGTGAAACATGCGCCT